TGATTCATAAACAGTCCTTGAGAGGACATTACCGGGAGATTAAGTGTAGTGGACTACATTCCAGTGTCTGCAATGAAATATAGACATGTGTAATACATAATTGTGTCATATTCTTAGGTATTGATTTTAGTAGAATTATGTTTGATGTTATTGAATGCAGATGAGGATCGTAGATGCTTTTGTTTATTTCGATGGGGTTAGGGACAGAAGGTTTAAGCAGGGAGAGATTCCCTTTCAGGTCCTATGGGTTGACCAGCCTGAGAGTGGATATTTATGGATAGGATTTTGTTTACATGTGTATTTAATTACATCATAGTTTCAAATGCATTTACATGAGTTATGAGGTTATCTGGAGTACCGACGGTGGTTGCCTGGGGCAGAGGGACCGTGAGATAATTTTACTGTCTTGATTGATATGGATGGATGGCTGCTGGACAGTTTTTCGCTCTCACACTCCATAGAGATTTATTCATAATTCATAGTAATGTGTTCATACTTCATAAACAGTTGTTCATATGTCATAGTAATGTATTTACACTCCATAGAGATTTCTTCATAGGTCATAGTAATGTATTCACACTTCATAAACAGGTATTTCATAGAAAGGTATTTACACTCTAGAGGAGAATGTTTTTGGGTTTAAGGTTAAGAATATTCAATGAGATAAATGGTTAATAGTCATAATCTTATTCTGTTTGTTTTCGAGACGTTTATTTCGTCTCGAAAGGGGGGAATATCGTATCTGAAGATTATGTCTTTGTTAAATGTTTTTCATGACGAAATGGAATGTTGGTTATGTTAGTATAATGTAACGTATAATAGACAGGAAGTGTATTGTAAACTGGCCAGCAGAGGGAGCCATCTTGTTGCATTGGTTATAAATAGGGGTACACGAAGAAGATAGGACAGAGCAGACATTAGAATTGGACGACACTACTGCTCTCCGGGTGTCATGTCACCTGTTACTCATGCTGAAGCTTGTGATCTGAATAAACCTTATGATCAATGTTCAGTATGAGCAGACTCCCTTTTGTTCATCAGCAAGGACGACCAACATTCATCATATACGACAGTACTCTAAGTGGACTCTGCTATGCAGCAGAATACCGCCCTTAGGTACCACCTGGAGGAACTCCAGAACAGTCATGGGCTACAGCGTGACTACCCCACCAAGCAACCAGACCTCAGTACACAAAGGAGTGAAGACAACAGAAGGTTTCAGACTTTACCTCTCCCAGGGGTCCCTCAGTCTTTTACTCTTGGCCATTCGGCACAGAGTAATATGGCGCCTCCTTGCCAACAAAGCCAAAGCTTCGCTTCTCTTCTTGGCCTTTTGGCCCATGAATCCACACAGGATGAAGCAAACCCTCCGCGCGCACTTGGCATGGAACGCCATGACAAAATCGTCAAAAACTTCTGCACCTTTGACCCCGTTCCAGGGAAGCCGAACGACACAGATGTTCTTGGCAGACTTAGAGGAGGCATTACACGGCTACCCGAACGCTACGGATACTGACAGGCTTTACCTGTTGAAGCGAACATCGAATAGACACGTAACAAGGTTCATCCGTCTATAGACTCTGATACCAATGTTGCGACACACAAGATAAGCAACATCGAAATAGCAGATTCCACTCAAATACTGATAGAGGACCCACTTGGTCACGAAGTACGGCAGTCTGTCTTGACAATTGACACAGATAACACACCACACCGTTCTTCCAACCCACTCCAATTTGTTGGTGATATGATGAGAAAACACAAATCAAACAGGCCATACCTCAAAACAGTCTTAGAGGATTGCTTGACCTGTGATGCGCTGATCGATTCGGGTTTGACAATTTCCCTCATATCTCAGACTTTGCTAAATGAACTCAAAAGGGCAGTGGACCCAGCAAAACATTGGTTAAAAACGGAACGATGCGAAACTAAACTTTGAGGTTTCACTCAGGCTACCTCGCCTCTAACCCAGCGTCTCCTACTAAAACTGAATTTCCAAAGCGTGTCACTTATCCACCCTGTGTAGGTGACTAGCATTGACACAGAGCAGATGCTGATTGGTATATATTTAATAAACCGTTTGGTACCACTGATGGATTGGAAAAAACAACCAAGTCTGGTCACAAATAACTACGCCAACTCCGCTGACACCACCGCCTTCATCAAAGGCTACCTGCAATACATTATGCAACAACGACGATTCGGCAACATCCACAGACAAACCCCCGGTGAACTTGGTCATGAGTCTGCCATTAGTGGCAGATGACAGGGTGACAAGTTCAACTCGAATGTTAACCGAACATTAGGTTTTCCTGTGTGGCTTGGGTGAATCACCAGCCGACACATAACACCCTCCACTGATAGGCTGCGTGTGCCTAAATGGCACAATGGTTGAGGATGCCATATTGGCAACCTCGTCCGAAAAATCTGCAATCAGTTTGGAAATGTTCAACAACATTTCAAAAGCTGCTAACTGCCACTCCATTGTTACGAAAACGTTCAGATTCCCACTGGGAACGACTCCCCAGACGACACTCACCGCTTTAGGGTGTCACTCCGCATTGGCACCAAGGAAATATCCCACTACCTACTGGCTGTTGCGAACCTCCCAC